CCCTCCCTCCTCTCCCACAGGCCACTCCCTCCACTCCCACAGGCCACTCCCTCCTCTCCCAATGCCCCTCCTCTCCCACAGGCCACTCCCTCCTCTTCCACAGACCCCCACCTTTCTCTTGCTGACCCCTTCCCCTCTCCACAACCACAGAGCGCCGCCTGAAGCCCTGGCTGGTGGGCCTGGCCGCAGTTGTAGGCTTCCTGTTCATAGTCTTCGTCCTCATGCTGGTCAACCGTGTCTGGTGCTCTAAACCCAGGTGAGAACTGAATTCTGCCCACCCAGCACCTCTGGTGGTCTCTGAACCCTCTTGGTCCCTCCCAGGCCAGCCTAGAGGTTGCCTTGCTTCCCACCCTCTGTTCCTCCCTCCTGGTTTATGAAGTTCATGACTTGAGGAGGGTACACAGAGGCAAAGAACAGCCTACAGCTTTCACATAAACCTGTCTTTTTATGTGTGCAGGCCAGATGATGAAGAGGTGAGAGTCAGAATGGAGCCCAGTGAGAACGAGTACACGGAGCCAAGGTACCCTGTGGGTGACCACACTTAGCCAGACAGTATTGGGAGGTCAACTGGGGCAGGAATAGTGCCAAGCAAGTCGACTCCTGTACAGGACTCCCTAATGCAAGCTCTGGATGCAGGGGAGGAAGAGGAGCAGGGCAAAGAGCTGGAACAGGCAGATGAGCCCTGTGATCCTGAGTGACTTCTGGGGAAGGGAGGGGTGAGAGGCTTACAGGGGCCCTGTGCCCAGACCAGCGCCAAGCACATGTCTGCGTGCTCACTGTACAACACGATTTCTTCTGCACAATTTCCATCACTTCAACCATTTACCCAAACACACACCTTTCCAACAAACCATCAACTCATGCACTGAATCACGCATCCATCCACCCATCCATCCACCCACCCATCCATCATCCATCCACCCACCCATCCATCCATCCATCCACCCACCCATCCATCCATCCACCCACCCACCCATCCACCCATCCACCCATCCATTCACCCATCTCTCTCCACGAAGTTCATGTTTCCTTTCCTGATGGGTTACCCTGAGGCCACTGCAACCCCAGAGACTGTGTGGGACCCTTGAACTCCATGAGCAGTGCCAGGCTCTCATTGTGGTCCCTGAACCCCACAGTAAAAAGGACAAGAAGAAGCAGAAAAAGAAGGTGGACAAGAAGGATGGTCACAGCAACGCGGGCTTGGAGCTGGAGGAGAAGGAATCCTCCAGTGACGAGAGAAGCAAGAAAACAGCCTTGTGAAGCCTCCTGCAGCCTGGGGGAGCCTCTTCATACCACAGCCTAGTATCGCCTGGATCTCAAAACTGTCTTCAAATAAGGAAGCCAGCTCTGCCTGCCATGTGTCCATGTGTCGCCCATCCCCATGCACGCCCTCACCGTCAGCCTGTGCCCTCTCCCTCTCCTCTGCTCTCCAGCCCCCAGCCATCCTCTGCCACAGCTACGCCAGCCCCCTAGGCAAGCATCGCCCGACTGTACCCTTCCTCTTTTCCGATGGCCCTGAGCCCCTGAGCCCCTGCGCAGCTCCTGGACGGCCTTGCGCCCTCTAGTGGAAGCCCCGTGGCCCGCACTTTCTCAGCCAGGGTCTCTCTTCTTTGGACTATTCTCCCATGGTCATCTGGTTCTTGCTGAGGACAGTTTTCTGAGGGGTCTTTTGCTTCATGTGATCAGGGGTGGCTGTTTTCGGGGGATACTTCCTTCCAGCCCCTTCACTTAATAAAGACCCTACTGTTCTTGCTGGTCCCTTTGTGTAGGCTTAGGAGGCCAGAGCCCAGAGCAGGGAGCTGGGCCTAGCTGGACTGTCTGTCAGCTGAGGCACCTAGTTGGTTCTTGTGAAGCTTTCAGACTCACCTGGACTCCGCTATGCTGTGTGGCCCTGGGAAGGTGCCTTGTTCAGCAGTGACCAGGAGGCAGAGTCCTGGGACACTTTCTCTCTAGCCTCCCACGGAACTAGGAGGTCACAGAGGACCCCAGCTCTTCGCTTTAGGTACAGGGATTGGGTTCTTTGAGACAAGGCCCCATGTAGCCCAGGTTGGCCTCAAATTCTCCATGAAGTCAAAGAGATGACCTTGAACTCCTGACCCTGCTGCCTCTGACCAGCCTGAGCCACCACAGTTCCTCAGGCTATGGTGAAGCTGGACACCTGGGGAATTAGAAGCCTGCGTTTGGGTGAGCAGATCCCCCAGTGGGAGGTGCAGGGGGGAGGAAAGAGGCTACATAGTGGGCCTGGACTTGTGAGCACAGTCCCGTGCCGTGGGCAGAAGGCACAGCCTGTGTACAGGGTGTGGGCCTGGGGTAAACCCCATCTCCTCCTGATCCCCCCAGAGCCCTGGTGAACACACGGAAAGGAAGACCCGAGACAGTTTGAGACAGTTGAAGCTTAAGCTTGTTTAATTTTTTTTTTACATTTTTTCTTTCTTTTCTTTTTTTTTTTGGCTTTTATTGAATCTTTTATGGACCCCCCCTTCACTTTTTTCTTTTTCTTTCTTTTTTTTTCTTTTTTTTTTCTTTTTTCTTGTTTTGCATAGGGAGAAACAGAACAGCAGGCAGACAATGGTGCTTAGGTGCATCCACAGAACAAAACAAAAAACCAGAAACCAAAATGAGTTTGTAATATATGAGGCTATGATTGGAGTCTGCTGTGGGCACGGGCAATGGCGGAAGCTGGGCTGGGTGCCCTCTGCTCCCCATCCGGACTCCCACTTGCTTGTGGAGGACAGTGGAGAGGGCGCCACAGGCCACGCAGGCGCATTTATGAAAAGCTGAAGGTCAGAGATGCAACAGCCCAGGGGTAAAATAAAAAATGATTGAAAGGAAACAAAAATCTCAAAATAAAACCAAAAGATCTCGGCAGGAAAATGAAATGGCCAGTCTTACCACTCAGAAAACAAGGGGGGACAGGGGAAAGAGAAAGTTAAGAGAGAGAAACAGCCCCCATGCTCCCTGCTGCAACCTGTGCGTGCCATGCGCTCTGGCCTGTCTAATCCTTCAAACCCAATGCTTGTCCAGATGCAGGCGCTGCAGGGGACATGGGGGTGCTCACATTGGGAACCTCAGACTCAAAGGGAATTCTTTCTGTGGGGACGTGGCTGCCTGGCTGGGATCTGAGGTTGGATGGGTTGTGAGGTTTTGGGGGTATCCAACTGGGTCCTCTAAGCTGGGGTAGCAAGGCTGGGTGCTTGGGGAGGGGTGGTGGCTTGGGGGTACATGCCTTCCTCCCTCCCAGCACACCTGCTGAGTCCTCTCCAGGAGTGGGGACTGAGGGGAGGCACGGGAGGACCCCAACACTGCACCATCAGACGTATGAGGCACTGATCGGGAAATGACGGTTTGGTATCATGGCTACAAGACCGGGGACTTGCTGTGAGTCCACCCACCTCAGCCCTGTGGTGGGTGGACTGGTGCCTGTCGGACCGGACAGATGGATGGAAGGGAGAGGACAGTCACTGACAAGTGGGATCTGAGGCCTGAGGGGCGGGGGCGGCAAATCAGGAATGGCGGTGCACACCTGTCATCAGAACAACTGGGAAATGGAGGCAGGAGGATTGCCATGAGTTGGAGGCCAACCTGGGCTACCTGGATAGACCCTCCTGTCTCAAGAAAACAAAACAGTCAGTGGGGAGAATAAGTGGCTGAACCTGGCAGCCAGCGTCCAGGAGGAGAAGGGACCATCGGGACCATCGGAGCAACTCAGCATGGGAGGAGCTGGTTAGCTGTCTATGTACATAGGCAGCGTTGGCCTGTTCAGGCCAGGTGGCGGTGAAGGCTGACCTGCCCACTGGCCAGGACATTTGCTAGTGGCCTGGGGTGTCTTGCCTGGGGACACACAGAAGGCCCTGAAGGGAGTGAGGTGACCCTGGCTCTGTCTTTGAGGGGAACTGAGAGGAGCTCACCCTCCTGATGTCAGTCCCCACACAACGGACATTCCTGATTATCAAACTCAAGACTTGGGGGCTCAGGACCCCAGATGTCTTCTAGGGTCACAGGCTAGACCCCAAGTGGTATGATGCTGGGTTTGGGGATGACAAGGGCTGGTGCCCTGAGGAGGGGACAGGTTTGAAAATGTTAGTTTTACACACAGAAAAAAGCCAAAATTCCTAATGCTCTGTCCTACCTAAAGTCACCATCTGAGGACCAGTGTGGGGGCCCAGGTACCTGGGTGGGAATTGGAGATCTTCCGAGAAATGGGGGTACTGAGCAGTCCCCCCCACCTGCCACCAGGTACATTCCATCCAGTGCCTCATCCACTGCCCCTCGTGTTGATGGTTCCCTAGGGGTGATGGCACCGTCTCTTCCCGTCATCCCGTGGATTTCCTACTTTCTGGGGGGGTGGAGGAAGGACAAAATTAAAAGCCAGAAGCCAGCCACAGGGTTAACTGACAGACAGACCCTGCCCAGGCCAGGGTGGGCGGTGAGGTGGGCTGGGGTCTCCCGCTGCCTGATGGGGAGGCAGAGGCAGGGGGATGGCTTAGAGCTGGGACCCCTGTTTGCCCTGCTAGCCCCTGGCTATTGTCTCAGCTTTGGTGAAGTTTAAGAGTAAACAGAAGACAGAAAAACAATCAAGAACCCAAAGGTAACCACAAACAACAAAACCAAAAAGGAAAAGAGAAAGAAAAACTGAAATCACGGACGTGACATCGGCCTGCCCAGTGGCAGGACGGAGACCGCTGTGTCCCCGCTGCCCGTACCTGGACGCCCCACAGCTGAGCTGGACGCAAAGACAGACAGACAGATATTGCATATACTCAGCTTGGTGGGTTGGCTGGAAGACGGGACGCCACCCCCACTCCCCCCAACTCCCCATTATCCCTGGGGTGGGAGGGTTGGTGGGGAAGGGCCTGAGAGTCTCATCCCCAGGTAGGGGACTCTGGGCCCCCTCAGGGCTGGGGCGGCAGGGAAGGAGCACCAGGGAGTCCCTTCCCCCAATGCGCAGAACGAGGGCAAGGACAGGGCTGGGGGGGGGCGGGGTTGCAAACCATGACCAATATTGTGACTTCCTTAATAGTATTGTTTTTTGTTTGTTTGTATTTTTTGGTTCTTTCCTTCCTTCCTTTCTTTTTCTTGAGGCAGCATCTCACTCTGTAGCATAGGCTGGACCTGAAGCCCACAGCCATCCTCCTGCCTCAGCTTCCCAAGAGCTGGGATCACAGGTGTGTCCCACCACACCTAGCCTTTTTTTTCTCTCTCTTTTATAAAATTGTTTTTCTTTCTTCTTTTGATTTCTTTTACAAATAGAAATACCACCCTTTTGGATTTTATTTTTTATTTCATGTAGTCGCTTGTCTGTTTGTAACTATGCGTGCAGGGCATGCGTCTGTGTGCGCGGATATTATTTAAAAGTTAATACTTGTCCTCGGGAGAGCAAGGCACATGTTGTGGTAAAAAGTTCGTGCAAATTCGGAAATAATGTATTTTTTTTGGTAAGGATATATATATATATATATATATATATTTGTGTATCCTTTTTTTTCCTTTTTTAGTAGAGGCGGTGAGGGGCTCGGGTGGGTGGGGCAGACCGGGTGGAGCTGTCATGCACGCAGCAGCCCCGGGGGACTCTCGGGTGTCGCGGGGGGCCTTAAGCACCATGCAGTTACGTAAATAGTTGGTTTTGTCCTGACCCCTGGGGGACCTGGCTGGCTGGCTTGGGGGGGTCAGAGGGGACCTACCAGGTCCACCCTGGTATAGTCTGCCCCACACCCACTGGCCCGAGCCCCACATCTGGACAGTGACCCCCGCCCCGTAATGTCCCCAATGGTCCCCCCTGCTAGAGGGTTCTTGAGGACAGACAGACAGGTGGGTGGGGGTTCGAGGCCTCAAAGGTTGGGGAAATGTCTTGGGGCGGGGGGGCTTGGTACGTTCAAGTGGCCTCGCCCCGAGCCCGGGAGAACAGTGGGTGGATGAGGCCTGGCCCTGGGGCTCTGCTGGGGTGATGGCTTGCGGCCTCCATAGGCAGGGGAGGGACACAGGCGTGACGAGGCCAAGATGGGGGGTTGGGGAAGAGGAGCCTTTGTGGGTTCAATGACCCTAAAAATCCCCACCTCCCCTCCCAGGGTGGTCCACCGGAGATGGGGGACCCAGGTGGGTGTGGATGGGAGCTACAGAGCGGGGGTCTGGGGCACGCACCTTGTGCCCCCGGTTTAGTGTTCTTTCGATAGGTCAGTGAAGTCCGCAGCAGATGGGGAACCGCCACCCAGTCTCCCCATCACTCGCAGAGCCCTCCCACCCGGGTCCGAGTGCACTTCCACCAGCCTTCTTGGTCCCTGTGCCGGGCCCCATGTCATCAGGGGGTCAAAGTGCAAAGGGGGCATCCCCTGCAGTGGGGCACCCCAGGGTGGGTCTCCAGGAAGTAAGGCACTGGCAGAAGTGTAGGGGGACAGCACACGGCCCCAGCCTGGGTTTGGGGACACCCAGCTCTACCCCTGGGGTCCCATCTCTCTAGCTTGGAGGGTTCGGCGGCGATGAGGAGCTGGGGTAGGGGGGCGAGGGTGGAGGTGCCCCGGCCACTCTGTGTCCCTGATGGATGAGGGGGTCGGCGGGTGGGCGGAGGGGTTAGGCACTTAGTGGCACCTCCCGCCTCCGGGGGCCTCAGCGTGGGGGACCCTGCTCCCCCACCTCTGTTTCTCAAAGTGCTGATACTTCCCATGTATGAGAGGAGGAGGCCGGGGGTGGGGAGCTGCGAGGCCTCTCATGCCGGGGTGGGGCTGGGGACAAATTGCATAGAGATGTGTCCTTCC